TGGTGGGGGGGCTGTTGTTGCAGATCAGAAGAAGGAGGAGGAGGAGGAGGCGGCAGCGGCGATGGCCACAGAAGGAGGGAAAACCTCTGAACCAGAGAATAACAATAAAAAACCCAAAACCTCAGGCTCCCAGGTAAAAGCAAACGTTAAAAAAAAAAAAAAATTCAACACGAAGCTTTAGGGAACATAGGGGAGTTCTGCCCTCTAAATACCCATAAGTAAAAGAACAGAATAAAAAAAAATGTTTAGCCACTCAAAGCATCTATCTTTCTGAGTGAGGAACTTAAATTGTAAATTCATAAAGATTTCCCATAGTTGAGGCTATAGCGGTGTTTAAAATTACATCAGGAATTCAGACCATTAGGGAAACAGTGTCTATTTTTCCAAGAGCATTTTGAGTTTAGAAGAATAACACTTTAAGAAAGTTTACCAGAAATTTCTTTTTTTTTTCATTTAAACTTTACGTAACAGGATCTGCAACCTTATTCACGTAGCTTCTACCTGCTTTTGTTCATATTTCCCTTTTAATTCTGCTGCCTATTGAGTGTGTTCTGATACTTAGAGCTCTCTAAATAAATAACCCCTCCCACTACTGTCTTCCACTAAATCCGCCCACTTTTTTCCCCTCCCTCTCCATTCCCCTCCCATTTTGGGTAGGACTCTCAGCCCTCTCCTCTGGCTTTACTGGCAGCTACTTGCAGCAAAATAGGGACTCCTGGTGAAAATCAAGCAACTGGACAGCAGCAGATTATTATAGACCCAAGCCAAGGATTGGTACAACTTCAGAGTCAACCACAGCAGCTAGAACTGGTGACAACGCAGCTTGCTGGAAACGCCTGGCAACTTGTTGCCTCCACTCCTCCTGCTTCAAAAGAAAATAACGTTTCTCAACCAGCTCCTAGTTCATCTAGTTCTTCCAGCAGTAATAACGGGAGTTCCTCTCCTACAAAAACTAAATCAGGTAATTCTTCCACCCCTAATCAGTTCCAAGTCATACAAGTACAGAATCCGGGTGGCAGCGTCCAGTACCAAGTCATACCCCAACTTCAGACGGTGGAAGGTCAGCAGATTCAAATTAATCCAACCAGTAGTTCATCTCTACAGGATTTGCAGGGTCAAATTCAGCTCATTTCCGCAGGTAATAATCAAGCTATCCTCACTGCTGCTAACAGGACAGCTTCTGGTAATATTCTTGCTCAAAACCTGGCAAACCAGACAGTTCCAGTACAAATTAGACCCGGTGTTTCAATACCGTTGCAGTTGCAGACCCTTCCGGGTACTCAGGCTCAAGTTGTAACAACCCTACCAATTAACATTGGAGGAGTGACTTTAGCTTTGCCAGTGATCAATAACGTGAGCACTGGAGGAGGGACTGGACAAGTTGGCCAGCCGACTACTACTACTGATAGTGGGACTTCCAATGGGAATCAATTAGTTTCTACGCCCACCACCACTGCTTCTGCCAGTACTATGCCTGAGTCGCCCTCTTCCTCTACCACCTGCACAACCACTGCGTCCACGTCTCTGACAAGCAGTGACACATTAGTGAGCTCAGCAGACACGGGCCAATACGCAAGCACATCGGCCAGTAGTTCCGAACGCACCATTGAAGAGTCGCAGACACCTGCTGCTACTGAGTCTGAAGCCCAGAGCTCCAGTCAGCTTCAGCCCAATGGGATACAGAATGCACAGGACCAGTCCAGTTCTCTTCAGCAAGTGCAGATCGTAGGCCAGCCTATCCTGCAGCAGATCCAGATCCAGCAGCCTCAGCAGCAGATTATTCAAGCTATCCCACCACAGTCATTTCAGCTCCAGTCAGGGCAGACAATTCAGACCATCCAGCAGCAGCCTTTGCAGAATGTTCAACTTCAAGCTGTAAACCCGACTCAGGTGCTTATCAGGGCTCCAACTTTAACACCTTCAGGGCAAATCAGCTGGCAAACCGTCCAGGTTCAGAATATTCAAAGTCTTTCAAATTTGCAAGTTCAGAATGCTGGGTTGTCTCAGCAGCTAACCATCACCCCAGTGTCTTCAAGTGGTGGCACAACTCTTGCTCAGATTGCTCCTGTGGCTGTTGCTGGTGCCCCAATAACTTTGAATACTGCCCAGCTTGCATCAGTGCCTAACCTTCAGACAGTGAGTGTTGCCAACCTGGGTGCTGCAGGTGTTCAAGTTCAGGGAGTTCCAGTAACAATCACTAGTGTTGCAGGTAAGCTACATCTTTTTCTTTTTAATCTGTTATTAGCAGGGCTAGGTAACAAGAGGTGTTGCTCCAGGCTCACTTGTAGATTTGATGCCCCTCTGAGGTTCACATCAAAACAGAACTGGACCATGACACCAGCAACCACATATAGTTATCAGTGTGGTCCCACTATTTCTGTAGATTTTAGCACTCGGTTCCATGTGTTGAATTTGTTAAATAATTTATTTCATAAAGCATCATTTTCTGATTAGAGCCATGATTATAGAGATCATAATTTGAGTACACTTGAACTCTTCTGGAAGATGAGCTCATTTCTTCTTGATGGAAAGTTGGCTTAACTTGAATTGGTATATGGTTGTGAGTCTGTTGAACTGTTAATTCTGTGTAATAAGGGTTTTAAATTAGACCTCATGTTTCAGCATTTTGTCTTTGAGGTATTTTTTTCCCCTTTAGTGTATAGGGTAGTTTTAAACTAGATACTGTTGTAGTTAAGATAGAAATTTAAGTTACAAATTGTTTCACTAAGTTTTATGTCTTGTTTTTTTGCTACACCGGGGATTGTGACAGTAATGGAACTTGATTTATAAAATTTAAGGAAAAGTCTTATGGTCCTTGTGTTATTTAAATGTGTCCAGTGTGAGGTTAGTGAAAAACAACTTAAAATGTAGATAGTAAAATGTCACTAACTTGAACAAATTGTGGCATCTTGTTTTTAAACCAGCTATGAGAACAGTTGTTATTTCTTATGCCTACAATTAGGTACATCTGAAGTACTTAAACACTTAGTTCCGTTAAGTCAGGGGAGCAGCAGTCTTATTGTACCAAAAGTTTTTCTGTACTTATACTTCATTGATTCTGAGTTGGTGGAAACTGGCTTTGATTTTAATACCTTTGATTTTTTTCAAATTTTGTGAAACAAAAATTTCTAATTTTTGGTATTTTAAGATTGGATACGCTTGTCCATTTTGAGTGACCTTTTTCGAAACGAGGTGCAGAAAAATTAAGATGGGGTTCTTCCACAGTTAACACCTCAAGCCGGTGTATACTTCAGAGTTGTCCGTAGAGAGGCTACCCATTCAGGACAACCTCTTTACATTTTTATCTCTTACCTCTAGACTAGCACTACTTAATTGCAGTGTCTGTACTATCCAGTGCTATCCACTAGTTCTACTCAGTGAATGATGGCTGAACATGTAAAACGTGGTGGGGAAAGTAGTATGACTGAGGAATTGAACTTTAACTTTTGCTTAAGTAATCAAAGTTAGCTAGTACTCTTCTGTTGACACTGTGTGATGTCAGTATTTTGAATGTGACTTTTCATCTAAAGTTCTTAATACCCAAGTGTTTAGTAAGTGGTGGTTCTGTTTCCAGCCCTTACTCTGCATAGTACTTGCTCATTCTGAACATTAACTGGAGTATTTATTGGATAATGGTTTGTATGGTCAAAGCAGAAATTATTTCATTTACATCTCATCTTGCCTGTTAAACATTAGTGAGTTGTGGTTAATAATAGCATTGAGTAATTTATAGACTAGTTTAGAGAATTGGCTAGTTCTTCTACTCTCTAATTAATATCTTGCAGTCCAGAAGTTCCCTCTTACTAAGTGTGAAGGTAATCCAGTATTCTGACCCCCAGATCCTGGAATGGTACGTTATAAATAATGGAAGATCCATCTTTTAGCGGTAAAATTTGGGGACAGAGGTAGAGTCAAGGGTCTAATCAACATTGAGTCAGAAGTCAGAATTGGGAATAGGTGGTTCTAAGCCAGGTCATGTGTGCCTGAGTGTGTTTTGCTAGCACATTAACCGTTTTAGTCCTTCATCCCCCACAACCCAGTGACTGTGTACCAAACACCTCCACTAGATATGGTTATTCCTATATTTTCATGGGCATTTTTTTTTAACTTAGAGTTTACTGCATACTTTAGGAGACCTGCTTAAGTGTATAAGGGAAACTGAAGTCTACATATGAAGAATTTCCTCCCTGCTGAAACTCAACAATTTACAATTTTGTTGATACTTTAAAGAGATGACCATAGTATACAGAGCAGAAATAGACCCTGATTTCTACAAGTCAAGTGCAGTTAACTTAGGCTTAACTGTTGGCAGCTTTATCCTATTATGTAGCAAACTTAACAGTATTCTTTGAAGACTTGGAACATGGGAGCAATTCCCTAGAGTGCTTACAATGAATCTAATGAAATTGCTTTGTTTTCATTAGTTTCTTTTGTTTTTACCTTTAAAGCACAGTAGAAGCACAATGCTAAACACTGTCTTAAGAAGAGGGAGACCCCATGCCTACATCCCCCTTAAATGAGCTCTACTTTAGAGTTAATGCCTTGGGTTGCCATTTTCTGTTATTTCACATTTTCCTTCTAGAATGGTGGTGTTGAATTTATGGAAAAATATTTACTGTTAATATTCACAGGTTTAAAAAATGTTATTTTACTTTTAATTGACACATAATTCATGTATACAGTTGTGGGGACAATGTGATATTTCAGTGTATTACACAGTGTGTAATGTTAATGATAAGATCGGGGTACTTATCACCTCAGACTTTGGTCATTTCTTTGTCTTGGGACCATTCAAAATTCTGTTTGCTACTCATTTATTGTCACTCACTGCTATCCTACTATGCTGTAGTTGGGTATTAGATGATACTCTGTCTAAGTAACTGTACCCCACTTTCCTTCTCCCTAACCTTACCCTCATCCTGATAACCAGTGTTCTAGTCTCTACTTTAACTCTCCTGTTTTAGACAGGACCTCACACATTCCAGGTTGGCCTTCAAACTCACTGGGAAGCTAAGGCAGGCCTTGAGCCTTCCTAATTCTACCTCCTTGGTGCTGGGATTGCAGGTGACCACTACCCTGCCTGACTTACAGGGTGCTGGGGATCATGTGTGCGAGAAAAGCAGTCTACCGGCTGAGCTACACCCCTAGCCCACTCCACATACAAGTAAGAAATACGCTCATGACAAATATCAGAGCTGGGGAAAATGTGGATTCCTTTGACACAGTAATAATGGCTAGCTCAAGAACAAGGCTTAACCGTTCTTACCGTCCAGACTCCTTTTACCGTCTCACGAAGTAGAGATCTGCTTGATACTGACCAAAGAGAAAGAATCACATCGCATGAACCCAGATTTTGAAGCTGGAGAGCTTCACAGTTTTATGAAATAACAAGCTTTTTTCCCTTGGTAATATATTTAGAAAAATTCTTCTCTCTGCTCTTATCTGAAAAATCCTCATTTTTTTTTCTAGGCTAAGCATCTAGCATTTAAGTAGTTAGGAGAGTAGTTGTAATTAAATACTTGTACCTAATACGGACTTTGTTTTCTTGTTGGGAAGAAGAATTTGATGGATCACAACTGAGTTTACGTACCTTTATTTGAGCCAGGCCAGGTGGTTTGAATCCCGGCATGGGTGGCAGAGGCAGGCAGAGCTCTTGAGATCTGTTTTGATTAATTAAAAATAGAAGTTTTGCCAGTGTTCTTACAATGCCCTCCGATCTCCAGAAGTTACATCTTTTTATAAATGAGAGAGCTAATGGTCACTATTTGTTTCTATTTCAGTAATTAACCTGAGTGGTCTACACTATCATGCCGTAGGCCTTTTGTTTGATCAAGTGATTATTTGTCAGTTTCAGTTGAAACTAAATTTTATGCCAGTTTTCTCATAAAGGAGGTTAAGACTTGATAAGATGTTGCTGACAATTCAAGAACTTGTCTCTTACATAATTCCTTTGCTTTTGCAGGGAATTGAAGTCTAAAACCTAGGGATATAATATGAAGCCAGGAATGGAAAGGCCAGTTCTTAATGACTGTTTAAAAATGGGAACCCAAGAACTTAAAGCTTATATTGTATTTAAAAGTCGAAATTTAACTTAGTCAAATTAACATTTTAACATTTACCTTCTCCCCCTCCCCCCGAATTACTCAAAAGTAGAAAATTGGCTTGAGGTCTAATACAGATACTGTTTTTCTTTGTTGTATATGCTGTGTGGGTTTGGATTTTCCTTTGGGGGCATCTTAAAACCATACCTGTATATATTACCTTCACACTTGTGTTTCCTTATTTCCTTTTTAGATGAGTCCATTATTTTCTGTTACTTTTTTACTAAGATCTTCTAACACTATGTAAATAGATTGAACTTTATTATAAGGAACTTAAATGTAGGTTCTGAACTTACAGTTTGACTTTAGCCTTCAGAAGCTTTTTTTTTCTTTTCATAGAAGATATAAAAAGTACTCCACTGTAAAGCCACATTAGTTTTTAAAGGACATCTGAGATGGCTTGGCTTTATGTCATCTTGACACAGGGTAGAGTCATTTGAGAGGAGGGAACCTCAATTGAGAAAATGCTTCCATAAGATTGGGCTGCAGGCAGGCTTGTAGGGCATTTCTTAGTTAGTGATTGATGAGGGAGGGCTCAGCTCATTGTAGGTGAAACCCCCTCCCCCCACCTCAGTCTGGCCATGGAGAGCAAGCCATCGAGCAGCATTCCTCCATGGCCACTGAATCACCTCCTGCCTTCAAGTTCCTGCCCAGTTTGAGTTCCTGCCTTGGCTTTTCTCCAGGGATTGTAAGAGATATAAGCCAAATAAACCTTTTCCTCTCCGTGTTGTTTTTGGTCATGGTGTTTCATCACAGCAATCATAACCCTAATTAAGACAAGATCTTTTGTTAGGAATTGAAGGGCAAAGGAGCAAAGAAGAACGCTTCTCATCTCCTTTTCAGATTATTGTTATTTTTATTATTTTTTGTTTGTTAGTTTTAAATGACAGGGTCTCCCTGTGTAACTCAGGCTGGCCTCATACTCACCTTAAGCCCAGGTGGACTTGAGTTTATGATCTAACTTCCAGGAGTGCTGAGATTCAAGTGTTCCTGGCTGTTTTTCAGTTTCTAATTTAGAGAGTATGAGAGAAATACTTAAGGAATATTGGAACAAGCATTAAGAGAGATTGAGGAGAAAATAGAAAAGGAAGCTCCATCAAGAAGGAAG